AATTAACAGGGCAAATGTCCTAGTAAGCTTTGAATGGTATGATTATATAGTATGACTTAATAACTGAAAAAATTAATAAGCCCATATTCGTGTTTTTAACAGTAGTTAACAGTTTTAAAATAAAAAGTTATAAAGTTATTTTAAGTTGTTAAAAGTAATGAACATTAATCTTTAACTCAAAACAAAGATTTTAAAGATTTTTATTTTCTACCAATAAAAACCTAATAAAATACTTAATAAAAATTATTGAAATAAAACAACTATATAAAGGATTAGTATAGAAATGGTCAATGTGGAATAGACTTTCCATGACCTGCATTATAGTAAGCCTCTTATTATGAATAAGAGGCTTAGTATAATGCAGTGGAAATAAAATTCAAAATATATACATATTTTGAATCCTATTTTCATAAATTTTTTAAATTTTAGATACTGATTGTAATTGTTAAACACATTTCAAGTGGCATTCTAAATATTATTTAGATGGGTACTAATACCACTGGGCAACATAAAATTTTTTTTTTGTATCTTTAGCAATTTTATTCAAATTATACGAATTTGGAGCTAAGAAAAAAGAAAATGACAACAAACATTTTTTTACTAGCTCTAGTTTCTAAGATATACAATAGCAATAAATTTATATTTCAACTAATTTGCAACAGAGCAATTTTACATATAATTTACATATTCTAATAATATTTAAAGTACATTTAGTTTTTTATTACAGATATATTCTAACAGTTTTAAACAAAGAAATCATGATAATTAAGCTAATAGGTGTAAAGATGATTATGGAGTATCGTCAAGAGATCGTGATCTTTTTGCTTTCCTTTGTAGACTTTTTATGCTGATGTTTGTGTTCTACACACAAACCAACAGTAATCTGTAAGCATAGCCACATTCCAACGATCCTGATATCTTTGTTCCATTATAGAAATAATGAAATCTTTCCCCATGTTCATCACTAAAAAGTCCACAACTGAGGGAAGGGGGAAGAAGTCTAGGTGTAAGCAGGGGAAATAAATCTTAAGAGACATGTTACATTCAAGTTGATGGTATTTTTGCAGAAGTATTGTTACCGATTGAATGTAGTTGTCATCTCTTTTGTCTCCTAAAAATCCACAAATCACTCCCTTAAGAGCTTCCCAAGTTTCCTTTCCTTGCCCCTTCAAAACTTTGTCAAATGCAGGATCCTTCATAAGTTGACATATTTGTGGCTAAAAAAAATACCCTCTTTAACTTTTGCATCACTTATTTTTGTAAATTGGTTTCTTAAATATCTAAAAGGTCCTTCTTTGTTCATATCTTTGACAATATTTTTCATTAAACTCAACTTAATATGTAATGGTGGAAGAAGAATATCTTTTGAATCAACAATAACATTGGTTCAGCAATAACATTTTTTTTATCTGTGTTAAGATTTCTTGCAGGCCAGTCTTCTTTTATCTAATGTGAACTTCTGCCTCTACTGTCCCACATACACAAAATGCAGCAGTATTTAGCATACCCTAATTGCATTCCTGAAAGTATAGCAATGACTTTTAGATCACCACAAATTTTCCATTTGTGTTTATTGTAATTAATTGAGTTGAGGAGAACTTTCATGTTTATATAAGTCTTTTTCATGTGAACTGCATGGCCAATTGGAACAGAAGGAAGACGGTTTCCATTGTGCAGTAATACAGCTTTCAAGCTTAACTTAAATGGGTCTATAAATAATTTCTATTTAGCTATTTTTTCATTTTCATTTTTGAGATTCTTTTCTCATAGACTTATATCTCAATGAAGCTTTTGCTTTTTGCAAGATGTTTATGAATCAAGTCAACTTTTACTACAATTACTCTGTAAAATACAAAAATACATTCTAAAAGCAATACAACAGAAAACACATTCTAAAAGCAATACAACAGAAAACACATTCTAAAAGCAATACAACAGAAAAGTCAAGTATAAAAGCTTTAGCAATATACTCAAAATATATATTGCACAACTGACTAACAATGTATTACTGAGGGTTGTGAGGCCAACATATAAAATCATTACCCTAACTAGCATTAACCAATCTTTGCAAACTCCAAATAAATAAAATAATCGCAGATAATTTAACTAACACCACACAATCAGACTAATTATTTTAATGGCACTCATTTTAACTCTGGTAACGGCAAAGGTTCTTCAATATTGATAGATTAAGATTTAAAAATAAAGTAAAAAAACGCTTATGGCTTTTTTACTTTACATACATTAACTCATCTATTGCATACATGGACATTTATAGTAAAAAAAAGTGTCATAACCCTTTACATTCAATATATCTTTCCCTACATAAATAACTCAACGTATGAACACTCTTTTGAATCTTTTTTATAAAAGTTCAAGTTTTTATTTTTAATAGTTTTTAGTATTATTGACTTTTAACAAAGGTTTTCAATAAAAAACAGCATAACACTGCCTTAGTCTAATAACATTAAACTTACTAACAAAAAACCAAGATAGATTTGACTAGTACTTGTCTACTTTGTGCGTTTCATAGAAAAGCTATTTTAATAGAGCTGGGCCACCATCATTAAATCATAGTATTATTGATAATCCAATATAAATTATAATATTTGTCTTGAGAGTATTTACAAATAAAACCAAATTAAAAAAAAAAAAAATTAATAAAAAAGTTAAAAAGTATAAATAGTAACTATGTCAATCATAATGGAGGTAACATGGGAAGTTACAAAAATAAAAATGAGCCGTTGACAAATGCACAAAAAGTTAATAATACACATAGCTGTACAATGCATAAAAAAAGACTTACTTTAACTTTCTGAGGATCCATCACTAGAAGTGAAAACAGCTCAACAGCAGGTCTGCCACTGTTTACCACAACCCAAAAATGATACAAGATGTCAGAAAATTGTTCATATGATTTAAAGTTATTCAGAAGTGATTGGCAAATCTAAAAGAAAAAAAAGGATATCATTATAAAGCAGAAAAATAACAATGATATTATTACATAGCAGAAAAACAACATTTAAACTTATTTAAAATAATATTGTATTAATTAAAAAAATATATAAATCTTTTTTTTTTATTTAATTTTTTATTTCTATATATATATATTATTTATACTTAATTTTTTTTAATTTAATTTTTTATTTCAGTTTTTATTTTGAAATATCAATATTTTACAACCATTATTTTAAACATGATTAATACTTTATTTTACTATTTATATTAATTTTTTTTATATGATATATAATTATTACCTGTATTTGTGATCTATGTTGCACTCTGGATATAATCTAAAAATTTATAAAATAAAAAAATTTTGAAAAACTTATTAAATTTTTTTTTAAATTCAACTTTGAAATGCTTATAATGCTTTGGTTTCTAATATCATTTGTTCAAAACTTACATTGTCATGAAACTTGTGTAGATTTTGAATTGCTTTAGGGATTGCTAGCCAAAGCATTGTTTCTGAGTTTGTTTTTTCAATATCCTAAAGAAAAAGTTAAATTTTTTAAACTCCTTATTTTTAATAACAAAACTCCAAAAAGCCAAAGGGGTCAATACATTTAAGAAAGGAATTTTTTTTCCTATTTACTTTATTACAAGGCTTTAACCCTAGATATAACTTCATAAATGAGAAACGCAAATCATAATAAAAAAAAATTGACAAAATAAGTTTAATGCTTCCACTTGTGATGTTGGAAATCTGATTATTATTCTTGGGTAGAGTGGTAGAATGCTTGATTTGCAAATTAAAAATTCTACCACTGCACTACAATATTATGTGTTATACAGCTGTAACTGCTACTACCTACTGCAAAATAAAAACAAAAATCATACTGTTTCTAATTGAGAAAGACCAGATTGATCATCTTCCAAAACTTTAGTAACCAAGCTATTGTAGAGGTTTTTATAATTTTCACCATAAATTAAGAGCTTGTCATAGCTTTCTATATAATTCTAAAGATATTTTATAATATATAAGGTGAAAAAAGCAATAAAACTTTGTTCTTATTATATATAACACATAAAAATTGTACTTTATTATATATATAATGATATAAAAACTTACAATCTACATAATACTTTTAATATTATACTATAATACACTTTTTATTTCTAATGTTTCTCTTATTTACTTTGTTTTAAATATTTTATTTTACTTTTTATGTTAAATTTTTATGAAAATAAAAATGTAAAAAAGGAATACACTTAAGTTTACTTTTAAGGTAAAATGTTTTAAATAAAATAGTTACCTCTTTTTCTTCAAATACAAGCCAATCAGCATCAACTTCCATTAAAATTTTCTTTAGGCTTTCAACCCCGTTCTTGCGAACAATTTGTTTCAGTACATATATATGCATAGAAGTGTTTTTGTACTTGATAAGAAATTTGCCCAATGTTGCAAAAAAAGAATTGAAATTTTTTTTTAATTGCATATCTTTATTTTCTTTAGCAAACCATGAATATAAGATATCTGCAGAGTAGCCCAAGAATAATCGAGCTGAAGCTATACTCTCAAGAAATTTAGGATTAGTGTTTGAGCTATCTAATGTAAACTTTTCTTCAAGGTCATGAATGTCATGCAAACCTTCAGATACTGCATCAAGAAAAGATGCATTTATTATACTATTCTTCTTTAACACAAAGTGTTCGAGTTGCAATTTATCCTTAAATTGAAAAAAATATGAAAGAAAAAGTATATTATATCAGTTTTTATAAAAAACAAAACAAAAACCAAACAAAACAATTCAAAAACAAGTAATTATTTACAAACTATTACAAACAAAACAAATTTTAAAATTTTCCAAGAAAATCAAAATTCCTTTAACTAAAAATCAACAAACTAACCTCAAAACAGTAAACAAAAAAAGTTGCTGCGCTAAGAAGCTGTGATTTATTTTCATTATCAAACAATCTTTGAATATGTTCTTGTAAATAACTTTCAACATCGTTATATGACCTTAATTGTATTTAATTTTTTTATTATAATTTTGTATTATAATAATACTATATAATCTTATATGATTATAAATAAAGAGTATCCAATAATAAATAGCAATATATATATATATATATATATATATATATATATATATATATATATATATATATATATATATATATATATATATATATATATATATATATACATATATATATATATATATATATGTATATATATATATATATGTATATATATATATATATATATATATATATATATATATATATATATATATATATATATATATATATATATATATATATATATATATATATATATATATATATATTATATTAAAATAATAATAAAATACAATTAAATTTGTAACATAACTCAGAGTTTCACGCTATATGCAATCATCAGACGTTACAAACAACCATAACAACAACAAAAATTATATACAAAAATACAATACAGTGTTAGCTTAGATGACGTTAAAGTTGCAGATAACAAATTTGTTTTTGTGGCGACATTTAGATATTAATTCATTTCGCTTATTTAATAGTTTCAAAGGTGATGTAATGATATGGTATTTTTCCGTTAAACAAAGGTTACATAACTTTCTTCCAGGTTTAAAAGGTTCTGCCCTATCAATAATTTTCCACGTAAGAATAGGATTTGAAAATCCCTTTTTTTTCATTTCCCAGATATATTTAGAAAGTTCTGTGGCATTAGCTTTACTTTCGTATTGAAAGGAGTTCTTATGCTTGTACCAGCGATCTTTAAAGGTGTGCTCTGTTAAACCAATATAATTTAAACCACTATCCTGTGGTGATGTTTTAACATTGCAGATGTAAATTATATTTAAATATAATTTAATATAATATAATATATATATATAATTCATCACCTTTGAAACTATTAAATAAGCGAAATGAATTAATATCTAAATGTCGCCACAAAAACAAATTTGTTATCTGCAACTTTAACGTCATCTAAGCTAACACTGTATTGTATTTTTGTATATAACTTTTGTTGTTGTTATGGTTGTTTGTAACGTCTGATGATCGCATATAGCGTGAAATTCTGAGTTATGTTACAAATTTAATTGTATTTTATTATTATTTTAATATTATATATATATATATATATATATATATATATATATATATATATATATATATATATATACATACATATATGCATATTTGTATAGTACACAGATACTAATGCTGATCAATTTAATTCTGAAGTAGGCATAAAACTTAATAAAGTTTTTTTTGATAAGATAAAAAAAATCTAACCCTAACTATAAAATTATTAAATAATATTATGATTGTATTAAAAATTTAAACACTAATAACTTTCTTACCTTTGAATAAGCTGTTGTAACAAATATGAACAAATAATTGAAGTGGAGTCAACATTAGAAATATCTGATAATAAATTTGAAGTAGCTGGAGCAGAAAAAACAAATTCTAAAATTTTTTTTGAAACATCTGATTCTATTAGATTAAAATTTCTTCTAGCAAAATAAAACTCTGTGACAACTTCAGCATAAAAAGAATTGCATCGTTTTTTAAATTCTTCTCTTTCAAAGATCATGTGTCTAAAATAATTTTTTTTTAGTCTATCAAAAAAATGTTAGCTAAAAAAAATTAGTTAAAAAAAAATTAGTTAAAGAAAGTTCAATTAGCAAGAGTATTTAAAACATAAAAGAAAGTTAAAAATAAACAAAAGAAATCTAAAAAATACCTTCGCTGTAAACTTTCTTTAAAAATAACTTCTTTTTCAAAAACCTCGTTACAAGATGGACACTTATTTGTTTTAAAAAGAATGCGATGAATGCATAAAGTAAAGTTGCGTTTACAACATGGTAAAAGAATTTCAATATCTTTACCATCACTAATACCATCACATGTCATGCATTTATTTAAATCTCTATAAATCAAGTTGTCGTTGAAGTCACTAATGAAAAAAAAAAAAAAAAAAACTGTTGCTGTAAAAAGAAACAAAATTTTTTGATAAATGTTTAAGAAACTTTTAAGATTTTTGGACCTTAGTATAACAATTGTCCTAACATTTCATGTTGAAAGTGTAATGAAATAGTTAAAAGTGTAAATAATATTGTATAAATTGGGCAATCGAGTGTAGGTTAAGTAAACCACAAGAAAAGCAAGAAACTGTATTTAATAATCTAGTAAATATTACATAAACAAAAAAAACAATAAACACAAATAATCATTTGCAAACTGAAATTTTTTTTATTTTAAAATAGAAAATAATGAATTTTTTGTTTCAAATATATTATAATTTATGTTTAATAAATTATAATGGTTGTTTTATTATTATTTTGACAAAAGCTATAAACCTGGTAACCTAAGTAACTAAATAACCTAAATAACTTACCCACTACATTGTTTACAATCAAAGACTAAACAAGGAAACAACTGATAATTAAATAATTTGCTATGTTATGACAAAGTTTTGTTTTATATACATGATCAAAAGCAGATATGTACATAGAGCCAGTATTAAATAGTAGCACTTCCATTAAAATATCATACAATAATTTATGTGCAAATTACAAAGTTGTACAACATGTACAATACTGACCTACAAAAGTTTATTGCATCTTCTTTTAAAAAGTTCTCAACTGTTGCCCATGAATCTTTAGTTAGCATATCATCATCTAGTTTATCTAAACTCTAAAAAATAAACATCTAACTTTTAATATTCTAATAATTTATGTTAGAGTATTCTAATAATTTATGTTAATTTAGTAATAAGATAACTTGTAATTTCCTTCAAACAAACAAAATTATTAGTTAAGTTAATTTAAGTATTTCATTCTGTTTTTGAATACTCGTTTTTGTTTATTTTTGTTTATTTATCATATTTTTTTTATTTGTGATATTTTTTTAAATAGTAACATAAAAACTTTATTTTAAAACCACCTCTGTCAAAAACATTATCATATAAAGTTAGTTATTAGTTATTCATTTTAAGGAATTTGTAAGCTTTATGATTATATTTATTTAAGAACAAGTTTAATTTTGGAATATAAACATTTATAAATGTTTATAACAAATAGGTAAATAAAAACTTTTTTTTTATACACAAGTGTAAAACTAGCTAATTTGACATAGGAAATTTTAAAAATGAAGTCTTTATATGCAGCCCTCAGAATTAGGCTCGACATATAGTATCTAACTTAAAAATTGCCAACCTTGAACTTTTTTGCTGACCTGATGCTAACCAGATTAAGGTTGGCAATTTATTGCTGACCTCTTTTTTCCTAATTCCGAGGGCTGCATATGTGATGCACATAATTGAAAACAACTTTGAAAGTTTTTTTGAAAATATTTTTGATAAAAGAAAATTTTAACTTTTATGAAAAATTTCTCAAATGATTTTGAAGCTAAAATGAATTTAGATTTTTTCATATATGATAACTAACTGATAAACCTACTACAAATATATATATATATATATATATATATATATATATATATATATATATATATATATATATATATATATATATATATATATATATTTAGAATATATTATAAATATATCAGAAATAATTAACAATTAAAACTATTTTTTTTACTATTATACTTTAACTTACAATTTTATAAAATTTTAAAACATTTATTTAATTCATATTAATAATTCATTTAAAAATAATTCATATTGATAAATAAACCTTTTTAAACAAGTGAAGCAAACCAGTTTGATGAGAACAAAAGCATGATGAAGGATGAAATACAAACTCTGAAAATCTTTCACAAATCCGAAGCTTGCACCACTGAACTCTAATAAAAATAAAAAAAAGTTCTACCATTTATGTATTGTATTCCATAAATGATCAAATGAAGTTACTTGTGCAATACAAAATGTAGAAATATGTTATACAAAATGTAGAATTATTCAACTATATTGCATTATCATAAAAACTTAAAATAAAAACAATTATTACAAAATATTAAACATGAAATAGATCTTTTAAAAGTGGCTGACATCATTTATAAATTGTGAATGATCTGAATTCTTCCAAAAAGTAAGTAGTAGGCAAGCTGTAGAAAGGTGAATTCGAGGCGAATTTGATGAATTTTGATTCCTAATACTTTTGCTTAAACGTAACTATTACACATAAGTGTTTTGAATTCAATTTTCAAAATTGAGACTTTGAAAATTATGAAATTAAATTAATTAAGATGTTATTAATAAATTTAAGAAGTTTAGATTTTGTGATATATATCCTTTTTACAAAAAATTACTATGCAAAATACAATTATGTAAACACAAATACTAATGTAGACGAGTTTAAGAAATTAGCAAAAGTGATATAATAGCCAAAGTTCAAAATCTTCTAAACTAAAGTACCTCTTCATAAAATCTTCTAGACTAAAGTACCTCTTCATAAAATCTTCTAGACTAAAGTACCTCTTCATAAAATCTTCTAGACTAAAGTACCTCTTCATAAAATCTTCTAGACTAAAGTACCTCTTAAAAATCTTTTGAACCAAACTACAAAACGACTAATATCTTTGCAGCAAGAAGTAATATTATGCGCAATTGAGTAAGCTAATGAAAATAAATTTGTGAAATTATCTATAGTTTTAGATTTGATGGTAGTTCTGGTCAAGCTGCATACAAACAGAAGTTTGATAGTCCATTGTTAAACTTTAAAAAAAGGAAGAAAAAAAAAGAATGTAGAGATTTTATAGAGCAATATTTTTAATGAATTTTTGTGTGTGTTCAGGATAGTAAAAAAATGCTTTACACTAATTAAAACCGAATCAATCAAAAGTGTCTTATTTCATTTAGTAAATTATGAGATCAGCTTCTAATTGTAAATCAGAAATTAAATATCTTTAATCTGATACTGAATGATATATCATTTAGCGACTTATTTCAGATACAAACTGTTAATAACATAATTAAGTAGATTAAGTACAATAATTAAAATGAAATTAATTCACATTAAATACATTAATTCTCCATCAACAATCATGTTAAGTGGAGTAGTATACGTAGAATATTGTGAGAGAAGTTAAGAAAAAGCCTAATAACTAGCCAAGAAATATACCCTCAAAATAACATAGGTTGTTGTTACAGAAGGTAGTTATTACAAAATAACATAGGTAGTTGTTACAGAAAATCGTATGATAAAAAAGGAAAATAGATGAAACTAGATGTGTTTTTTTGCATTTGCATTGTACTTATCATTATTTGAAAAAAAGCAAACATTTGCAATGAGTATTGCTGAAAATAAAAAAAAATTACCAAATGAGTGATGACAAGGGGCACAAGATAAAAAAGAATTACTAACACTTTTGTAATTTATATAGTGATGGGTAATAATAAACAAAAACCCCACTTAATATTCAATGAATCCTGCATATTATTGATCTATTATTACCAGAGTTTTGAAGATTCAGATTCAGCACAAATAACACTTTGTCAGACAAATATTGTCACTGATAAAACTATACAATAACATTTATAAATCCTATATCTAGTAATATTAGTTTTAGTGTTATATTACATTTATATCATTTTTAACTTTTTATAGACAAAAAAGTCTATAAAGAGTGACAAGATTTATAAATAAAGTTTATATTATTTATAAATTTATATTAAAATTATATATATATATAAATAAATATATATATATATATGTATATATATATATATATATATATATATATATATATATATATATATATATATATATATATATATATATATATATATATATATATATATATATATATATATATATATATATATATATATATAAGTTAATGCATATTATAATTAAAATTTTTTTCAAATTTATTTAAAATATAAACTGTACAAAACTAAACAAAACTTTATATTTTAAAAGTGAATTATTTTCAATACCTTATCTCACTGATTTTTCTAGTTGTCAATGAACCACAGCCCTCAAACTTTATATCAAGAATGTTTTGTATTAAAAAATGCAAATGTTTTATTTTGTTCATACTAAAAGGACTCATCTCCAAACGATTAACTATAGACACTAATTTTTCCAAAATAAGAATGTCAATATCCTGCAAAAAAATGTAATAATAACAAGAATTAGCATGAATTTGAAATAAAAACATACAACAAAGAAGAAACAGAAAAAAAAAACAAGAAGATGCGGAAAAAACAACAACAATAACATGCAACAGAAAAGAACAAAATAAGAATAACACAGCAAATACTAAAAAAACAAGTAACAAAAAAAATTAAATAAAAAAACTTATTTCAATCTTACAATTGGTGAATTCAATGATATCATATCACTAATTTCTGGATGATTTCTAAGTATTAATGCCATATTTCCAATTCTTTCTTGAATAACTCTTGTGTTCAAAACAATATGGATGGCTGTTATATCATAAATACTATTATCTAAGTCACCAACTGTTTTTAATGAGCTAAAAAATTTGCTCCTTGCAGTAACTACATTTTTACCAAAAAAAACCAAACCAAATGCTAGTACCTGTAGTTAAAAAAAAAAAAAAAAAACATAAAAAAGAAAAAAAAAGAAAAAAGGAAATACATTAAAATGCTTGATAATTATTTACCTCATAAGATCTCTCTGTTTGATAAGGAAATAAAAGACGAACCAAATCATAAATATAATCATCAACATTAGATTTTGACAATCCAAGAGTTAAACTGGCCATCGGCAAACTTGATAACGTATCATATATCAATTTATAATCATGTTTGTTGAAGTTATCATCTAAATATATATTAAAATAATTTTCATATGTAATACTATTTTATCTAAATATATAAAAAGAGATAACTAAACTAATAAAAATAAAAAAACTATAGTAACAGAAAAAAAGTTTTTATGTAAATTAGGTACCCATATTAGAAAAATTTATTCAACTTTAAATTATTTAATATTTTCATTTCAAAAACCAAAACCAAAACAAAACAAAAAAAAAAACTGGCTAAAGTCAGCACAGCAAGAACAAAAAGTAAGGACAAAAATCAAACAACAGGAACAAAAAACAAAATAAAAACCTGGCTGAACCACATTTTTGATCACAAGTTCAATTTCATGGCAGAGTCTATTTGAAAATGGAAATTTGCATTGAAATGATACTTCTGACTCATTATAAACTTGAATACTAGAACAATTTGTTTTTGAAAATATGTTAAGCCACAAATCTGTATAGCTTGGCTGTTTAAAAAGTATTGACAAATTACCAAAGCTATCAATATTTGATATAATAGAAGAAAGAATTGGAACAATTCGATCTTCAACATAATAACATAAAGCTTGTTGAAAGGTGCCATAGTTTTTAATATACTTTTGCTCAACAGCTTCATATTGCACCCAGTTATTAATATAATCAGGCAATATGTTATTCTCTTCTTTTTTTAAGTTACTCTGAATCAACTCCATGATGGTTGTGACAAATAAATATTCCATATCTAAACAGATAAAAAAAATTAAATATAGATATATAATTCACTTTAATACAAACAAAAATTTTAAACAATAACTTGATGAGTACACTCTATGTAAGACTTTAACCCTAAAGTTGTGAATCAACTTGTTACTCTTTGATAATAACCTTTAATTTTTTTTGCTACCTTTTTTCTTTCTAAAATGAACTTATTACTATTTGCTGAAAATTTTAATTACAGGGCTCAACAAATAAACTTTAAAAAAAAAAAAAAAAAAACAAACATTGACCTCTTTATTGACATTAATTAACTTAATTTTTAACAAACCTTTATAAAAACATTTATCAAGTTAAGGCTTTGACAACAAGTTAGTACACCTCTGTATTCTTATATATACACAAGTCCATAAAATCTATCATAAGGTAATATTATGTAATAAATTCAAAGTTTTATTTGTTAAATTTTTTTTCCAATGAATTTGTTTCAGAGATCACATTGTTTAAAATTTTATTTAAACAATGTGAAAGAAAAATACCAAAATATTTGGGGTTATATCAACAAACAAGTTACAACAACAACCAAGTTATAACAACAAACTTACAGCAAACTACCTTGTTAGACTTATTTCTAGCCAAAACGCTAGTAGAAGTTAACTTTGACTTAAATTACTTACTTGCCTTGGGGCTCTTGATTGAGTAAAAGCTAGAGATGGTTTCTTAATAAAAATATTTATCTTAGACAGATGTAAACTGCATCTAGTTATCATTTTGTAGAAGATTTCTGAGATAAGAACTTTAGACATTTGTTATTGACAATAAAACTTTGTTTGGCCTTGCACCTCTTCTTCATCTAATAGGCTAGCATAGATGTAAACCTGTGCCACATTATTTCCTTCTTGACTCTATTCATGAGTTTTTGCTTAAGTCTAAATGATAGTGGCTATGCAACTCTATTATCTTATAATACAAGTACAGTTTTAAAAACTCAGTATAATATTTCTAAAGCCTACTGGAAGAAAGGTTTCCAGAATCTGTGGTAACACTTAGAGTGGTTAATACTGTGTAAAATATCTGTGCATTAACAGTTCTATGTTGGGCATGAATAGTAGTCCCATTGTTTTTAGTGTGCAATGTTGAGCCATATAAAGAGCTCTTTGTTACAAAATTTATACAACAAACAAGTTACAACAACAAACAAGTTAAAACAACAAAGTTACAACAACAATCGAGCTACAACAACAATCAAGTTACAAAAAAGCACAGCTTATGCTTAATTTAATGGAAGTATTACTTGCATGCATTTAAATTTAATGGAAGTATTACTTGCATGCATTTAAATTTAATGGAAGTATTACTTGCATGCATTTAAATTTAATTGAAGTATTTCTTGCATGCATTTAAATTTAATGGAAGTATTACTTGCATGCATTTAAATTTAATGGAAGTATTACTTGCATGCATTTAAATTTAATGGAAGCATTACTTGCATGCATTTAAATTTAATGGAAGTACTACTTGCATGCATTTAAATTTAATGGAAGTATTACTTGCATGCATTTAAATTTAATGGAAGTATTACTTGCATGCATTTAAATTTAATGGAAGTATTACTTGCATGCATTTAAATTTAATGGAAGTACTACTTGCATGCATTTAAATTTAATGGAAGTACTACTTGCATGCATTTAAATTTAATGGAAGTATTACTTGCATGCATTTAAATTTAAAGTAAAGTATTACTTGCATGCATTTAAATTTAATGGAAGTATTACTTGCATGCATTTAAATTTAATGGGAGTATTACTTGCATGCATTTAAATTTAATAGATTTACACATAATTATACAAAAGTATACAAACATAAATATATATACACATATTTTACATAAATAAACTATATTTAGTATAGAAGTACTATAATTAAAATTCTGACAAAACACTGAGCATGCTTTTTGATTTCAAAAACATCAAAAAAAAAATTCAAAAAAAAAAAATTCAAAAGTATTTTAATACTTTAATTAAACACCAAGTTTTTAGTATATGTATATTGTTATCAACTGGGTTATTTGTGTGTTATTCTTTTTAAATTAAATATTTATCTTTCATTTTTAAACATTCAAATCTATAAATAAAAAAATGAAACTTTATTATAATATAAGTAAATATATAATAAAAATAGGTAATATATTTCTTTCAAAACAAAATTTATATAAAAATAAAAATCTATATTTCAGAATACAATGAATCAAATAAAAGAATAAAGAGTAAGAAAAAACCTTGGGGTTGAGACTTCAAAAGAGCTGTAATTTTATTAATCCTTTCAGAGACTTCATCAACACTCAATTTCTTTCTTTCACTTATTTGACGAGTGGTCATTTGAATAGATCCAATAATCAGCCCAATCAGTTTTGATTTTTCTTCACCATCAACATTGCAGAAAATATCATACAATGATTTACCAGTATGTTTAATAAAAGAAGGCATATTTGAACAGCAAAGTTCATCAATATGAGAACAGTCCCAAAATGATAAAGAACTCAATAAGTTTAAGCAATTAGATTTATAATTCAGTTGCAAAATAAAAAGAATAGAAATCTTCTTTACTTTAAATTGTTCACGCATTTCTTTACAAATATATTGTGCACATGCAATTAACTTTTTTCTTTCTTGCGCATTATTAACTTGAATAATAATAAGAGTTCTCTCATTACTGTCTGCAGAATTGAATGAAACTCTAAACAAAATCTCTAAATAATCATACAACCATACAACAATCAATTGAAAATTTATGAAAGTCTATGAAAAAGTAAATACTAATCTAGTTTTTTTAAAACTTGGCATTAGAGTTAGCTTTAAATTTTATTTATTTGTTTAATTAAAAATTAAAAAATCATTTAAATAATTTTATGAGTAACTTCACATAAAAAATTAATAGTAAAAAAACATCAGCAACCATAAAATCTAAAAAAAAAACAATATAAGCAAATTAAAGAAACAACTTAAGCATTAGGTTATAAACTAAATAAAACAACAAATCTATGTTTATTCTTTTTATTCATCAATTTATGCCAACAAAAAAAACATGGTAAGCATGATATTTTCTCTGATTTTAAACATTCATCAAATTCAGAATGTTATCAAAAACATTGTAAGCATGATATTTTTTCTGATTTATAACATTCATCAACTTCAGAATGTTATCAAAAAAGTATTTTGATGAAACTCTTCAACAACATTTTAAAATTGTAATACAAATGATGTCAATTTATACTATAGCCTATATTCATACAGCTTTAAAAAAAGAAAAAAACAAAGAATAACAAAAAATTTTATTACCGCCCCAACTCAAAACCTCAGTCGATGTAGCGGCAACTCCCTTGCATACTTTCCCATATATCAGTCTATGTATGTACTCAAAGACGTCTGAGTCACAGAAAACCGATAAAGAACTTATAAGGTTATTTAAAACCAATTTAAAAATGTTGGTTTACTCTTTCTCATCAAACTCAGCTCGTAATTTAAAAAATGACCTGTTTAAAACCTCAACTAATCAAAGGTTACCAGAACTTCAGCACTTTTTAAAAACTGTATTGCAAACTGTTGGAATAAATTAGCGCAGGATGTAATTGATGTACCCAAAGTAAACAAGAAAGTATTATTATGATTCAGCTTCTGAAGCAAAATTGTAAGCATTCTTTCCTTCATCAATATTAAACTTTTTATGAATAAGTTTTATTGATTTATTATTTTAATAAATAAATAAAAATCTAAGATCTTTTTGTTTTCAACTGAGGTTTCGCTCAGATTCAGATTGCTCAATTGAAAAATGACCACGTAAAATTACTTCCGTGCTCGTTTAAGTTGATCCAACCAAACTATCGACTCATGATAAGCAGATGACTCATCTTAGCGATGTTTTGCAAAGCGAATTTAAAGATTTTAAAATCTGTTTTAATAAGATTCTCATTCATCTGGTTAAAAGATGAAAGATAAAGTTAAAAGACAACTTTATAGAAAATATTTCAGATCTTAATAGTTTGAAATAGTTGTCATTTTTCCCTTCCGGAAACACTTTAGGATTTCTCAACGAAATATAATCAAAGGGTCTATAGTATACTTTTCAATCTATATAAATTTTTATTCAAACTTTTCAAAGCAATGCTAGTACCTGTTGGTGAATAAAAATGATCTTTAAGTAAACTAAAATTGATTTTAGTAGTATTGATTTTAGATTTGTAGAGCCACTATAAAACATGAGATTTTAAAACATCTATTGAACGTACATGTTGAAAATGAATTAGATACAACTCTGACGTAATATGACATAGTAATAACAAAAATTTTTGCTTGTAAAAAACAAAAAAAGATTTTCAATTTTAAAGTCTTAATTAATCAGTGTTGCAAAAGTTTAATATAAGATCCAGAAATGAAAATGTAAGATTAAAAATATTAGAAATAAAAATACAATCATTAACTTGCACATGCTATAAATCAAAAAAAAAAAAAAAAGCATGCTTAAAGGGGCACCTAATTGTTAATATGTCCAGGGCGTCATAAAAACTCTCAGAGGCCCTGATCATGCATGCGCAATACTTATAATCTTGTTTTCAAAAAATTTGTATCAAATATATTAATTTGTATTTAATACATTACAATAGTATTAAAATACATTAAAAAATTTAAAATTGATTTTGTTAAGGTACCAAAATTTTTTTTTACCTACCTTTGTAATGTCTAGTGCTGGGCCTGTATATATATATATATATGTATATGTGTGTATATATATATATATATATATATATACATTTGTGTATATATATATACATATATATACATATGCATACATATATACATATGTATATATATACATATATAAATGTATATATATATACATATATAAATGTATATATATATACATATATATATATATATATATATATATATATATATATATATATATATATATATATATATACATATGCATACATATATACATATGTATATATATACATATATATAAATTACATATATAAATGTATACACATATATATATATACATATATATATATATATATATATATATATATATATATATATAAATATAT